TCAGCATTAGTCAGTCTGTAGGTACACAAGCGGCTGTTGTCTACCTCAGCGTATGGTGTAGGCTGATCTGATGGTGCACATCGGATGCTGTAGAGTGATCAGGTGCTTCACGCGCTTAGTGACAGAGTAAAGTCTGCAAAGTTCTTCCAGCGCCTGTTTTTGCGTTTTTTCATTGGCTTCCACGTTGGCCGGACACCTATTACTGCGCACAGTGATGAAGCCGCCTGACCCACACTAACACCAGCAAGCAAACCAGTAAAAGAATGTGACATAGTGATCAAAGCATTTTGGCCAAATGAGTGCGCTAAATTTAAATGCTGATTTCAGCACGCGTACGTTGCTTGGGTGAAAAACAAGTTCTCAGGAGCACTTGTCAAATAAAACTTGAGCTAATTAGTGACACGTAGGAATAGGTGCTGACGCATTAGGTTTGACACAAACATCTAAAAAGGTTGCCTGTGGCATAACTGAGTTATGCTGAGGGTAAGCGTAGCGAGGGGTACGGTTAATATTATTCTGTACTGGTTCGGTTGCGCTTCTCGATGCATGCCGCTTGTTCTTCGTCTGTCTCCTCGGCTAGCCGCCTCCGCTTGGTAGTAATTTTAACGACAAAGCCTGGCTTTTTTCTGTCTCTCTGTCTCACTTTCAATGTCTACCTACACATCTCACTGCACCACCGCTTCTAACACACGATGCAACGCCGGCTCCTCCTCTGTTGTGGCGACGTGGTTTCGTAGGCTCATCTTTTGACGTCATGCCAGATGGCGCGGTGATTGATTGATATGTGGGGTTTAACGTCCCAAAACCACTATATGATTATGAGAGACGCCGTAGTGGAGGGCTCCGGAAATTTAGACCACCTGGGGTTCTTTAACGTGCGCCCAAATCTGAGAACACGGGCCTACAACATTTCCGCCTCCATCGGAAATGCAGCCGCCGCAGCCGGGATTCGAACCCGCGACCTGCGGGTCAGCAGCCGAGTACCTTAGCCACTAGACCACCGCGGCGGGGCATGGCGCGGTGAGCGTTTCTGCCAGCTGTAGTGGTGGTTACTAGGCAATGGCTGATATCACGGTGCGGCCACCGACCACAGCGAAATGGCGACAATACGGCCGATTAGCTCGCACTACCACACCGCGAAAATTGCGCACTATAAAAATTTACTTTGAGTCTCATTTGTTATATCAATGACTCCTCTATTTTATCATTGACAGCCAGATGTACCCATTCCCACCGTTCACCACTCTCTCATATAGTCCTTTCCTGCTCTCGCCCATCGCCCAGCCTTGGCGTGTGCTTTGCAGTCATGGAAACAGAACCCCCCCCCCCCCCCATCCAGTGCCTCACGACGGTAATCATAAGATAATGGTGATGATAATGATGAGGACGATGATGAAAACGTTATTTCGGTCCAGAGGAGAGACGCAGGTAGGGTGGCCAGAATCGTCTAGGTACCCTAACGCAGGGGAAACCCCATGCCACTCGGTAATTTTTTCTTCAGTTGTGTATACATCCGTGGGCAGCGTCTTGCATTCCTCTTGTTAACAGTATTGGCGGTCACGCTGGTTCTGTAAATGATATGGTGTTTTGAAATGGTGCACCGCCGTTCGTAGTGCAATGCGGGCATCTAATGGAGTCACGTCATTGCAACACTACGGCATGCGATGCGCTGTGATGCGGTGGCGGGATTGCTTCGAGCCACAAATAAGGAGCGTCAAAGAACAAATATGACAGACGTATGACATTGAAGTGGGAAACACGTCTATCGTATCTCCGGGCGAAAGCGCTCAGAAGCTATTGTGACGCAAGCAGTGCTACCCATCATGTAGCATCTCATCACGACCACTCTCTAAACTATGGTGGACTAGCGGATCCCGTTGAGACACTCGCTTTTGCACTGACACTGAAAAAAATAAAGGAGGCGTTCATTGATTGATATGTGGTGTTTCACGTCCGAAAACCAACGTATGATTATGAAAGACGCCGTAGTGGAGGGGTCCGGAAATTTCGACCACCTTGGGTTCTTCAACACGCCCCCAATTCTGAGCACTCGGTCATACAGCATTTTCGCCTCCATCGAAAATGCAACCGCCGCCGTCAAGATTCGATCCTGTGACCTGCAGGTCAGCAACCGAGTACCTTAGTTAGTCACTAGACCACTGCGGTGGAGTAAAGGAGGCACTGATTATTTGCACTGAACAACATAGTTCTTTCAACAGCCTTCAGATACGGAGCATCGTGCATCACTTTAGCGAACCTTGAGCCATAAACAAGGACCAACTCCTGATCTTAACACTGCTTTCCAACTATACTGCTCATTTTCTGTATGTTGCCATTTTCTGTATTTTGCCCTCTTTCCCAACTTGGCAGCAGCACTTATGGTAACGTGTTAGTTTTATCGATAACTTTGGTAATGCAGTAAAACTGATAGGTGAGCGAGTTGCTATGTATTCATATTTTTACTTTTTGTCTAAGCCCGTACCTTTAAAAAATAAATAGATGAGAGTTAGCGCTCGTCTGTGTCTTTCTTGTCCTTGTGTTTGTGCGTGCTAAAGAAAGTTATGATTATAGTATAACATGATCGCTACTATAAAGGAAGTGTAAAGAAAGGTTAACTTACGTTACATACGTGAATATTTTCAGTATTACGAGACCTCACATTGCTCGAAACTTTTTATTCTAAATGTGTCTGCGTTTTATTTTCGCGGTGGAGTACTGCTGCCCGCCCGCCAGGCGGTAAGAATGCCTTGAAACAGCCCGTAGAGTGACTGTGTAGCGTTCGTGCCGACGAATTCAGTAGGAAGCTATGCAAGCTACAACTTTGAAATGCAGCTGTTGCTTGAATTCTACAAGAAGTTGCAGTTATTAAAGAACTCGCCATGAAGTATACCACCGCTTCTATGAGCTTTTTAAAAAATAAATTTTGCTTCTTTCTATCGGTGACTGCGTATATACGTTTCTGCTGGCACTCCACTTGAAAGCGAACGAGGCTGGCCTTGCACACTTGCAGCATTCGCAATATTTGCGGATATTCTAGATATCAAAGGGGAACGTTTTTGTATGTTCAAACGTTTTTTTCCTTTCGAACCAAGCCGTTCAAGAGTTTCTTCATGACTGGAATATTTCAGCATCGTACTAGTGGAAGCCCACCGGCAGATTTACTGTAAACTTGTTCAAAGTTCATTGACGTTTTCATTCATGAGAGCTGTACATGGTGAAATCTCGTTTTCTGTTTAATGTGTCACGGAGAAAGATCGTTTTACCATGTTCTCCGGCCTTTCAAGCCGTGACAATATTTTAAGAGCAACTTCATAGGCCACCTGAATATTGCTGAGAGGCAATGTATTTGTATTATGTCAGTAATTTAGGCAAAGTCATTGCTCGGCTGGACGGTTTATGTAAAGTATATTGAAGATCTTTATGACGTTGTTAATGTAACTTTCTGCTGTGAGGAAGCATTGATTCAAATTTATAACCATGGATTAACAGTACAGGACATGTGCGTTACGTTTTTGTAACATTAGCGATAACCTGTTACCTTTGCTTTAGGTAACGTATAGGATGGTAACGCGTTGATTTTTTCTTTGCGTAATGAGTGACGTAATGAGCTACTCCTTTTCAATAACGTCAGAAACACTAATTCAGATCACGAAATTAAAGTGCGGAACAAATTAATCCTGAGACCTTCATAATTCCTAAATAAATAAAGGTAATAATACTATTCTTATCAATATCTGTGGCTTTACGTCCGTAAAGCAAGTTATAATTATGAGAGACGTGGTAGTTGAGGGCTATGAAAATTTTGACCAACTTGTTTACGTGCACTGACAAAGTACTACACTGGAAGCTACCATTTTGCCTCCGTCGAAACGCTGCTTTTGAGATCGAACCCATGACCATTGGGTCAGCAGCCAAGCACCCTAACCACTGCTCCACCGTGGTTGACAGCTAAATAAGTATACAGATACTTTAGATAAAAATACTACTGTTACTACTATAATGTTCAGTCGTTGAATGATGAATGAGCATGTAAACTTCATGTGTCTTTTTACTAATAATGTGCGGAATGATAATTAACTGGTTATTTCAAACCAGCATTAAACTCAGTAGATCAGTCTAGTACAAAAGCACGTATATAAATTCTGCCTGACCAATAGAACAAAGTGTGAATATGTTGTTTGCGCTCTTTTTGTTCCGCACTCAGGCATACATCATGAAAAAAAGTATGTCATAACTTCATTTATGTTAGTGAAAAAATCCAGCATGGCAATAAGAGAGAAGCCGTAATACAAAGAACAAGTATCCTTAGGAATGTAAGAAGCCGCAGTTTAATATAATAGCGCAGGAAAAGTGGAAAAAAGATACTGAGTGGCCTGATAATCTATTAACTGCCACAAGTCCAACAATACTGGCATCAAATCTGTACATCCTATTCTCTGTGCTCTGTATACTCGTCCAGAGGGACCAGTGAAAAAATTGAGATGCACTAGAAATGCCGACACCAGACTTTCTTCATATTGCGATGACTAAAGAGAGTAATAAACAAACAATAATTAAAAGCAGGCGTATCTCATGACTGCACCACGATAGCATACAGTAATAGTAAAATAAATAGGGATGTACGTGTTAAAAAAGCATTGAATGCTCTTTTTTTTCTCTCACTTTATTGCTGCAGTGTAGTCAGGAAAACAAGAACACTGTGAAAGTCTATACCACGCATCTGTAGGCCTACTGTGTGTTACGGTTTCTTTTATGTCACTTAGCAAGAAGCAGCTGGATCGTCGTCAAGGTATCGGCAGTTGTCGCGTGGCGTTATGAGCAGCAGTATGGCAGCGTAAAGGCAGCCAGCCGCAATCTATCGACCACGCTCTTTTCATCGGAGCGATGCACTCTCAATAGCTGCGTAAGACGTTCACGCAATGGTTATTCGCAGAAGTCACCGTCCCAGGTGCACATCGTATCTCACTGCCCTCACATTTCGACTGGTGGCCGCAGGGGTCATGGCAGGCACGCCGAGGCAGCTCCGGTTGGGCGTCTCTTCAGTGCCAGGCTGCCAAGTGGGCGTGTTCGCCTGCGACCTCATTCCGAAGGACACGCAGATGGGACCGTACCCGGGAGCCCGAAAGCCGGCGGTAGCCTTGTGCAGGGACCCGTCGCTCGTTTGGGAGGTAAGGCCTGGCCACGTGCTCAGACTAGGGCTGGAAGAAAGCATACACGCAGGTGGTACGCAATTTCTAATATAAGTCATGTAACGGGTAATTGAGCTGCTCTGAGGCAGAAAGAAGGAAATGAGATGTTTACAAGAAAATGTTTATTTCTTCCAACGTTCCGGCAGGAGGGCCTGCCTTCGTCAGGAAATATTTGACATTTTGACGTTATTACACCAGTATTACTGAAACAATGGACAAGATGTTGTATGACATGCATTATTAGGGGCCGAAAAGCTCCCGCTTGAACCTCGAGCTGACGTGCTATGCAGTGAAGGCGAGGCAAGGCAAGCTTCATAGTACGTTGTGGTTGTTAAGATGAAAGTTTTCTTTCTCTCTTAAAACAAAGTATTGTCTTTTGAAACCTTCTGGCTATGTTATTGACACACTGTGCTATGGAACAATATTACTATTCATATTTTAATTGGACCGCTGCATTGCGAAAATGAAGCCGCAATTTGAGTAAAATGCGGTTTTTCACGATTTGCCACAATATTTTGACAACGTTTTTGCTTATTTTGCTCCTCAAGTATCTTAGTCACTGAATAGAAAACATATTACGCAGAAAATGTTAATATATTACCAGCGAAAAATATATTGTATATATGTGTGTATATATATATTTTGATTACCGAAATCGAAGGGGAGAACTGGGTTGTGGGGTGTGTGCTTGCCACCGGCACATGGCAGAATAGAACAGCCAGCCCAGTAATCGAGCTTTGTTTATCTGTTCTCATAATTACAGTTTTATTGGAACCCCGAAGCAAAACAACTTTTCGGCAAGTAAGAAGCTTTTTTTTTCTGAGATTGCCGTACGAATTTCCTTGTAGCTTCGTGCTACAACGGGTGGTTGTCTTCTTTTCTTTTCGTAAACTTGTTTGGCAGCAATCTGTCTAAATAAGTAAAATTATAGACGTATTGCTTACGCATAAGCCTATAACTTGTGTTGGTATGCCATCGAGACCACATTATTTCTTGCGATCCAAGTTGAAGATAATATTAAATATGCCCTGAAGTGACAATGCCTCATCGTCGATGCCGGGGCGAGATTATGAATGAGAAACAGGGATTTCCGAGTTGTTAATCAAAAGGAATGAATTGGAAGAAGTGTTGAAGGATGAGTTCATTTCCTTTGGATCAAAAACTGCAGCGTTGTTAATGTAATCGTGGGTGATGAAGAACTAGATGGTCGAATAGCCTTCCAGAATTTGCGGCGATTTGCTTTCTTAGCTGCGGCAAGGTAACCTTGTAATAATATTTTTTTCCAGCCTTCATTTTAGCACAGAGTTTGTTTTTTGTTTCGCTAACAAACGTTTGGAGCTTTGTTGAGTTACCAGAGCACTTTGATCACCAGAGCGCCAGAGTGCTTTGCTTGCAATACGGGGAAGGCCACCTGCACAGCAGGCGATACGTTTTTTTGTAATTTGGATAATTAGGTCAGAGTGAACATTTCACAATCATCTGAGACGACCGTGACGCCAGAAACTCACTTCCATTATGATTAAAAAAGGCGCAGCGGATATATTTCAGGGCAGAGTTCGGGAACTAAAAAGTGCGCGTGTTTTGACACATCCCATTGTTCTTTCTTCCATATTGGATAATCTGGGGAAATGGCAATTTAAGCGCAAGACATCATCTTCTTAAAAAGTCTAGTCTTGCCCAACATGACATTGAAGCTGATCTGAGAAGTAACTGTCGCCCTATATTTCCTGACTGCCTAAACCCATTTGAACAACTAACAGTCGAGAAAGAGACGTGCGACAAGTGTCTTGAACAGTGTACGGCACAGATAAACCTGCTTGTAAATAGCCTGCAGAACTAGGTTTCTGGGAGTAACTGCTCTTTAATCCCGTCGATGCAAGAAGACTCCCTTTTCTGACACTCCGCAGGACTGCGAGACTCCTTGGCTCTCGAGAGTTAATAACCAGCGTAATTAATGCCACTGACTGCCGCCGCTCATGGCGCAACCTAGTACGTAAGAGCGCTACTGATTGCTGAGTCCATTGTCTGGTGCATTAGCGTTATTCCACCAAATGGTGACACGTCATCGTTAGAAAAAAAACAAAAAAGAACAAAGCAAGTTCTGAATACATAAATTTAGGACCGTGGATAAGGCCACCACACACTTTAAAGCAACACCTTTAGTTAATGAGCACAAAAAAATAATCATCGGTGTCGCAAGAAGTGTTGACCGCTTTTTTGTTATGTTTTTAATAATTCATTTCAAAAACAAACTTTTAGCCAAACATTTCTCGTGAGTTCGGTTTGTGACAACACTGAACCGTATGACCTATTGCGGGTGAATGAATATTTCTTCACCAGACAGGGAACTTCTTAAAAGTGGGCATCCTAAAACCAAGAATGGTACTAGCAATAACCTAGTAGAATCAATAGCAGTATGGACACTAGAGTTATGTAATCTCCGAGGTGATGTACGTTTACCTCGCGCTAAATGTTTCATATCATCTAGCAGTGCCAAAATTACCTCGGGGAACGAGGAACTTGCGTGCTTAAAGTAGCTACAGAGGAACCTTAACGTAAGTAATATTCGTGTAAATTGAGTATTGTGGAGCTAAAGCTTGAGTACAATAAACGAACTGCAATTTTCTTTTTCGCCTTACCGGCGGTGGTACATTGTTGCCTCAGTGTAATGGGATTTCAAATTATTGGGTCGGCTCTGACGCTCTAAGGTTTTAGTAGCTTGCCTATAGCTTCGTCTTTGACTATACAGAATGCAACTTATTATGACTGCACCGTTAGAAAAGGAAATGGTCAGAAGCAAAGGACGCCAAAATAAATGTATGAGATCGAGGCAAGTTATTGAAGAAATATGTAAGCGCAGTTGCTGCTCCCTCATACTTCTTAATATGAAGCTGCATATAACTTGGCCATTCGTAATAAGTGCGCCGGAAGTTTCTAGCTCAGATCAAGTCAGTTGTATGTAGTTTCTTCGCATACAAGACACATCGCTAGTTATACGCATAGCATTAGGGGGACCCATGTTACGAAATCTGATGAAGGAGACTTCTTAATAATCACGCTCATGCACGTGAAGTGTCGAGTGCAGCGTCAAGTGCCGAGTGGCAAAGAAGCGGGTCGTTGATATTGGCTTCGCAAGGTGCGGCAACGATTGCTGTTTCTAGCGAGAAAAGCGTGTGCTCTTTCAATGAAGTTTCCTCACCTGAAACCCCTAAGTAGTGGAACAATTAGCTTTAGCTATAGGTGTGCTCGACAGCAAGCTGACGTCATCTACAGCGACTCCAGACCGGCCACCAAAGCCCTTCAGCGAGATCGCCCATGATGCAGCGCGCGCACTTTCCGACCACGCTGCCTCAGGTCAACGCCATCTCGCTGAGTCAGAGACCAATCGGGATGCACCCATTACGTACAACGTCATCACAAACCACTTTTACCTTGAACGCCACATTCCCCATCCCCCCCCCCCCATGCCAAACTTCACAAACTGCCGTTGCCAACCCTACGCTTATTACAGACTTACACGTGCAACACCTTGTCAAGTTTCACGTTTATAATCCTGATGCGTACCCCAGTGACACGTGCTTCTCGCATGGACTACGGCTAAAATCCCACACATGCTTTCGGAGAGTATAAACGCTCCTCTGCCCCCCTCCTAACCCCCGTCTTTCTCACTCGCAACAAATCGTCTGGAGGCGACTTCAGGCGAGAAGTCTTCCCACTCCTCACGTCCTATCCGACTTCCGCCCCATTTCTCCTCACTCTCTGTGGAGAGTCGCCTGCCACCCTAGACCACATTCTCTTTGTCTGCCCCGCCGATCCTCCACCGCAGGGACAGCACGCCATCAGCACAAGGGAGGAATGGGAGGCCCGCAGCACCTGGTCGCACAGCTTCGCTGTGTGAACCAGGGTGCCAGTGCCCTAGCCCTGCGTGGTCTGGACACATGGACGCAATGGGATGGCCGTGCGGTGGCCCAGGGTCCGTAAAGAACCTAAACTCACTTGCCCTATAAAGTTTTTCCTCCTCCTCCCGACTCTACCTCAAACAAGTGGGAGAGGTCCCTCACAAGCTAAGTTCTCGCCGACCAGCAATGGGCCGTCCAGCAGACCCACGAAGCGACCGCCAGGTACTCCCTGTGGGTCCCTACGTGGGAGATGGCCGCTACGCGCTAAGCGCGTCCTGCAGGACAAAACAAAAGTTTTTCCATTCCACTTCAATGAAGTCAACCTTTTTACTTTTATTAGTTAAGCTGACAGTGAACTAGCCCTTACCAGAAGCAGCAAAGAGACGCTCCGATATTACATGTATTCAATATAACTGTAAACTTAAACCAGCATTGTGAATTTCTCACCAGTTTCAGATTCCGATGCTAATTATTGGAATCTTCGGAACACTGCGTCCTTAAACGGCCAGTGCTTGGAAGAGCGTCACGCTCCGCTCGTACCGCTCATGAATAAATAAATATATCAAAAAAAAACTTCTCATACAGAAACTTTTATAGGTTTCTCCAAGCTCTGCGATTATTGGCCAGTCGCTCACGGTGGGTGTAAGCCGAAGTTTTCGGATCTACATCTATATATAAATAACCAGTGTGCTCCACGTATTCTCCACACAAATCGAAGTAGAATTGCGTGCTTTGAAGGAGCATAAGCAAAAAACGACTAAAATAGAAACGCATTGTGTCAATCACCTGTGGCACATACTCTCCCAAAGGTATTTGCCGCACGTCTCACAGAAGGGCTTTGACGACGTAAGAATAAAAATTCTTGGGGTGTAATGTCCCAAAACCCCCATATGATTATGGGAGACGCTGTAGCGAAGTGCTCCGAAAATTTGAACAACCTAGGGTTATTTAACGTGCACCTAAATTTAAGTACAAGGGGCTAAATTGTTCGCCTCCATCGCGAATGCGGCCGCCGCGGCTGGGATTTGATCCCGCGACCTGCGGGTCATCAGCCGAGTACCTTAGCCACTAGAACACCGTGGCTGGTACATTTTCACTACGCATGCGACCGGGTTATGAAGAAATTACTCATGTCATGACCAGCGAGTCATATTTCGTCAAACCATCTTAACCTCCCAAACTAATTTTGGTTTACCCCAAATTACGGGGGTGATCACGAACGCACCCACACGTAGGCGGCTGGATAGGTAGGTAGATAGATAGATAGATAGATAGATAGATAGATAGATAGATAAGATAGAAGATAGATAGATAGATAGATAGATAGATAAAGATAGATAGATGATTGCAGATAGATAGATAGATAGCCTAGATAGATAGATAGATAGATAGATAGATAGATAGATAGATAGATAGATAGATAGATAGATAGATAGATAGATAGATAGATAGATAGATAGATAGATAGATAAGATAGATAGATCGATAGATAGATAGATAGACTAGATAGATAGATAGATAGATAGATAGATAGATAGATAGATAGGATAGATAGATAGATAGAAATAGGCTAGATAGATAGATAGATTAGATAGATAGATAGTATATAGATAGATAGTATAGATAGATAGATAGATAGATAGATAGATAGATAGGCAGGCAGGCAGGCAGGCAGGCAAGCAGGCAGGCAGGCAGGCAAGCAAGCAAGCAGGCAGGCAGGCAGGCAGGCAGGCAGGCAGGCAGGCACTGAAAGTGCCTGCAGTACACAAAAAATGCTTCATTTAATAAATGAACCAATAAAACCATGTGCTATTCAGCTGCCCTCATCATCCGCTTTGCCGGAGTTTAATGACTCAGAATCGTTTCTGTCTTCCCTCGCTTGCATATCCTGACTCTCTTCACGGTGCGTTTTTTTTTTTTTTTACAGCATCATCAAACAGCAACTTACCATTACAACTAGTGCACTTACTTTGGCTTTTGTGGAGTAGTGTTAAGGTGTGCAGACATCTGCGTGTGTTTGTAAGGCACACTATTAATAGAATATTTAATAGTGCAGCTTCAAATTACGCCCAGAAGAGAAGATGAACACGAGACAAGCGATAATGATAATAATGATAATTTTAATAATAACGAGAATACATAGGGGTTGCCTTCAGTTTTTTTTTTTTTTTATATAAGTGGTCGTTACGTCACTGTAACCGTACCACTTCATACACAGATACATAACATGGTGAGTAAGGTTCGCCTTCCTAAAGTCACCCAAACTATCAACACAATTAGTTTTGTCACTGTTCCCGTCTCTCGCTGTTCTTTATGGAAACAGAAGTTCGAAACGAGCAAGTGTATTTGCAATTTTGCGCTAATTACAAACTGGCTGCTTTAGGAAACGCAAAGGTTCAGAATGCCAAGTCAAGCTAGTTTTTTTGTTTTATTACACTTTTATTGTTATTTCATATTTTCTAGTGAGTTCAACACGCAGTTGTACGTAATAGTTATGCTTTGAAAAAGCATATTACTACGTACCTAATGTTTCTACGCCACCAACTGAAATTTTCATCATGTCAACTTTCAGCTTGGAAATGCGATGGCGTTGCCATCTAGTGGAAGACCAATGCAACGCCAGAGAGACTGGGCAAGGCCTGAGAGATTCGTTATGCCAGCACACCATTTAGCTTTGGCAGTCGCACAATTATTTTAAATCGTCGTTTCCGCATTCATTCGCATCACGGATTCAGTATGTAAATGCTAGAAGATGTCATGCGTTATCGACATAAAACGTAAAGAGTGCCAGGGCTGTTTCGAGGGACGCATAATGAAAATACGGCAGGCTTTCTTTCTCATTACTACGCCGAGAGATATGCTTATTCGCTAGAAGTAAAAATTGAAAAAAGAGAGAGAGAATCAATGTTAAGGGTAACCTAAATATTCTAGTATCTATGCCCTCCTCTTTCACCTTGCTGATGATGTTTGTCGGCGTAAGTCAGCCAAGCCAGGTCTTCATTCATAGCTCTTTCTGATGGGTGTGATTACTCTGAAGACAAATAGATAATGCGTAGAACTGTACTCGTAGTGAAAAGAAGGGAGCTAGGCGGACTTTGTCTCTTCAGTCTCAATAGCTCTTCGATATTCCAGCAGTAATTAACAACGCAGCGTCGATTGTGATCGTAGTGACCTAGAACGTAAAATGTATTGTCGGCTGTGCAACATGATTGTACTAGTCATGCCATCGCCATGCTAACCGCGATATTGCCATATATAAATGACTAATAAATTATGTATAAAAACACTGTCCGCTGAATGACTCAACATCAGTGGTAGATGGGACCGTTTTTCTGCTAATATTTCTTCTAATAAAATAAGGTACGAAATAACATTTGCATAGACATCAAGCTTGAGGAACTGTCCAAGTGCGCACTTCTCGTTCATATCCAGCACAGGTGAAAGGTTGCTACGATTGCTCGGTTGTTGAAAATCAGAATCCTATTATTTATGAAATAATGTCGTACTTATCCATCTCGGTTGCATAGCTCATTGTGCGGTCCATAGAATTTTTTGTCTCACTCCCTGACTCGAAAAATCTTCGTCCTGGAGAGACAAGCTGTATCCTCATACGCTCAGCATTCAAGCCCTACTTGACTGCATTTTCGCAGGCCATCGACGGCGGCCGCGTGTGCTTCCTCGTGGATGGCGCTGATACGATGATGCCATCTTGGATGACGTACGTGCAGTGCGCCCGCCACGAACAGGAGCAGAATTTAGACATGCTGCTCCTGCCCGAAGGCAGCTTGTACTACAGGGTCACGAAGGTGAGTCATAGAACTGATTGTCCCAGGTACCAAAGCCAGTGCGCCTGGTTGGAGAATATTGATTGATGTAGGATGCATTATATGATATGCGAGACACCAAGGTATCGGCGATTTAGACTGCGTTGATGTCAGTAATTTCTAATAAGACTGAGTAGTCTATCATCTGGTTCATTAGCGCAAAGTAGGACCTATTGATCACCTGGACGGTACGAGAGGAATTGCTGCCATCCTCCGTCGAGACTCGCGTGCCGCGATCGCCAGTGAGGGCCTTCTTGTTCTTCTTCGTCTCGTGGTGCTGATATATGTTTAGTACTGCTAACTGCAGTGTTCAACTGTTTATAAAAACGTTTGTAACTTAACAGCATTTTCTCAATATCTCCTGTAAGTAAAATCAGACAAAGGTTTTTTTTTTCTCGAAACAAATGCAGTGACTAGTTGAGTAATGCAGGCGTTTCCTTTCTTGTATACATTGAGCTAGACGTTAATATTCTTCTTGAAAACAAAACCATGACCAATTCACGTTCAATGCATACCTTGCACTGAAACATTTTCTCGAGCATGTGCACTTGGGTATTTAAGGTACCCCTGAGCTATTACGCACAAGCCATAATACGAGATCGGCCGACTGAACCAAATCACTTGACTAAGTCGGCTGTGCGATGATCAATTCTAGTAGCGATAGAATGGGAATATCTTGCGGACCATGCAGTAGGTGCAGTAGTTCGCGCAAAAATAATCAAAAATTAGCCAGAATCCTTCAATTCCACATACCTTTTAACCTAATGGATGGCGTCCAGACCTTAACATTGCACAACCGCCAATGATTTTTTTTACTTTTTTATAAATGTGTTTTAGAGGAGATTCGTGCCTATAAATATGGCTCTGACTACCGCTCTTTTTTTCTAATAATACTTTGCGTCATGACGATAATATTAACAATTAATTAAGGCAAAATACACGCACGAAGAACGCAAATTCAGAAAACGAATGTTCAGATGTCGTAAACAGTGTGCTTGCCTTAAGAAGAATGTTCACACACTAGAAGCATAATAAACGTTCGCGCTTTCTACAAGAGTTACAGTACTTCAAAAAAAGTTATCGCAAAGCAGTCACTGCGCATTTGCCCACATTTAAAACAAAGCTGTAATCAAACACGAGAAAGTACTTGACACATGTGACCAGATATATCTGACAAAATTAGCAATGTGAAGAATAATTGTTATTGTAAATCAGTTTCCTTCTTATAGTCTTCGCCCTTACAAAAGCTGTTCTAGTGCATGAGCAACTGTTTTGAAGAGTGTGTGCCGACCAGAGAGCCAAAACTTTTTCTCATGATAGCAGCTTTCCATCGAACCTGTGTAATTCTTCTACGAAACAGTTTGCCAGAAAGAGCATCATTCTCACAATGTAAAGTTATTTTACGCCTTCTTCTGCCTCTTAACATGCGTATGCAGGACCATTAGTTTTTCTGCCCCTTATATGATAACGAAATGTAGGCAGGACTTAGACAATGTATGTGAATGGTTTCTACATAATAGGTTATTTTCGTTGGAATATTAACTTATATCAAAAGACTGACCTTATATAATTGAGTGCTTCCGCAGCGTTCGCGTGCCTCTCTTCTCTCTCTTCTCTCGTCCCGACGAAAGCACAGTGGTGCGCAGCATGGCGATAGGAAGTTACTCATACCATATTGCGTCGTAGAATTCCACAACTAAATTATTATTTACTCAAAGTTGGTCTAAAGGCGTCACCTTGATGCCAGGTTTGCGAAGAAATGGAAACGATAGATCATTTATTTTACTCTGTCGCCGATATTTTTATCAGCGGAAAAGATATCTGGTAGCTCCACTTGAAAAACTAGGATTAGAGTTAAATGTGCTTGTAATTTTACCGTTCGGCAGCATTAAATTTGGTTATAGTCACAGGGACGTCTGATCTGCGGTATTTGACTACATAATTGAAACAAAGCGATTGCCATGTTAAAGTGGCTTATATATATATATATATATATATATATATATATATATATATATATATATATATATATATATATATATATATATATAATATTCAATTTAGACCCGCGATTACCTCTGTCTCAAATCACATCTGATAGCCTGCATCGATCCCTGCTTAGATATACTTCTTTTTTGGCTTTTCTTCATATATATATATGTATATATATATATATATATATATATATATATATATATATATATATATATATATATATATATATATATATATATATATATATATATATATATATATATATATATATATATATATATTCAGTTCAAAATTACTTTGTGTTTATAAAACCTTAAGGCTTTTACTTAAAGATCCTGCCGCCCGGTTCTTGGCCGATCTCTCTTTGTGGGTGTGCACCAGAATAACGAGGATCATCATCATCATCATCATCAACTCTAGAAGCTATACTCTGTTCCAAAAGTTCCACGCAGCAGAGCCAAGGCTACAGGACCCTCGAGCGCAGGTAGTTGCGAAGGCAGATGTAGTGCTCCATATACGTAGTCTGTTGTTTGTCTTCGTGACTTTCGCAAGCGGTCTCGTCGGAGGACTTTTACTTGAAGGCTTCTCTGCGTGTTGTTGCTCTAATTTGTATGACGATTTTGTCTCATTTTTCGTATAAAACAATTTTGTGGCTCCATCAACTGAAGAAAGAGTTCTTGCTTGTACGTGTCATAACATGCAAATGAAGAAATAAATAACACTATTGTGGCTCGTATGTGTTATGTTTTTACTTATAAAGTACGACTGAATGGTACGACACTGTCTAAACGTTTATGAGTAGTCCGCACAGCCCGAGCATCCACAGCGCCGGGGAAGACCCAGTCTTGGGTTGTCATTAGTCCGCGCGCGGTGGCAGATTTGGTCACTCCTGTTAAAATGGCAGCACCTGGTTCACCTGTGTGATATTGTTCCCGGATCAGCTTTTACAACAAGGGAGCGAAGTGGTTCACTCTTAATGTGTTCGGGACAGTGCGTAAGGAGGGCAGCAGAAATGCAAGCATGAGCTCTCTCGTTAAGAGAACGGCTGTGCACACCAAAGTCAGCGAACGTGCGCTGTACAAGTGGGCAGTGGAGCATGATAAGCACGGCGAGGTACTTTCACCCAAGATGCTGTCTCGCGGTGGCAGGGGCCGCGATCGAGAGCAGCTGCTGGACGGTTTTGACCTTGGTTTGTTGCGCAGAGTCATGCACGATTTCTATAAACGGTGAGGAATTCTGATGGTGCGCAAGCTCGCCGCATACTTCAAAAAAGATGACTCGCTGCCATCCATGTCCGCGACAACTATTCACAGGATGCTACTCAAGGTAGGCTTCCGCTTTAAGAAGCGTTACCAAAATTTGCTCCCGATCCAGGCTACTCACATCATCCAGTGTCGACGCAAGTACTTGCGCCAATTTAAGGACGTTCGACGCCATGGACGACCTATCTTCTACACTAGCGAAACCTGGGCGAACGCAGGGCACACTGTGAGCCGTGGGTGGGTCGACAAGACGTCCACTGAGCACGCTAAGAAAGCCAACCTGACGACAGGCTTGCCAAATCCCAGTGGTAAGGAAGGTCGCCTCATTATTACTCACTGTGGCAACGAGGACGGCTTCATCACAGCTGCCGGTGAAGTATTTCGAGCCACAAAGGGAACAGGAGACTATCATGATGAAATGGACGGCGCCAACTTATAAAGGTGGTTTGAAGAAAAACTACGGCCGAATTTGCCACCACAAAGTGCCATTGTGCTTGAAAATGCATCTTATAATTCTATGAAGCTTGAAAAAGTACCCCCTATGGGTACGTTGAAATAAGACATTCAGGCCTGGCTCTCTCTGAAGGGGGGGACCTGGAGCAGTTACATGGTGAAGGCAGAACAGATAAAGCTTGTTCAAACCGTAAGTACGGAAGGTAATAGGTATCGCAGTGACTGCATTGCTGCTGATGCAGGTCACAATGTCATACGCTTGCCGCCATACCACTGTGAGCTCAACCTGATTGAGCTCTTGTGGAGTCTTGTTAAAGGTCATGTTGTAAAAGCCAATACACACTTCAAGATGGAAGGCCTCGATGCTCCGGTTTGGAAAGGCAAAGAGCTAGTCACTGCATAAAAATGAAACAAATCACGTGAGTCACGTAATAGAAGTGTAGGATGACATTATCAAGATTGTTGACATCATTGATGATGCCATTGATGACAATTAACGAGTCGTAGTGACCTTGAATGCTGACACGACGAGCAGCGATGAATGAAGCATGAATGTAGATGATGATCAGTCTCTCCGTTCACTGTTTCCTGAGGACACTTCCAAAAATATTAGTATATCGCGGTCACCTGCTTATTAGACATGTCACTTGCAACAGCTTTGGACACTGTCACCGTGGAAGCCTTGCACATAACCATCCAAAAGCCATCACGGTGTTTTACTGTCATTGAATACCAAAACAGCTACTCTATAAAACTTACTCGCCCAAGTGACAGGCAATGTGGTGCTCCCTACTGCGAAGCCCATTCTTGTCACCACTGCCTTTTTCGCGTGTAACGTGGCACTTCAAATATATCACTGATCTGTGCTCATATGCACCGTTTTCCCAGCAGCACCATGCCACTGTTGCCTTCGCGGCAATGTTTTGAGGGCTTTGTGTGCTCCCACTTACGACTGCCGTGCCCTTCGCCGGCTACAGCTACAGCTCCCAGTTCTGTGTGTTTTAATGCCATCAATGCCGAAATGAGAACTTGAAAGCCGAAACGTCGAATTGCAGATAGTGTTGTGCTATTTACATGAAAGTCATCTCTTGTCGCCGCTATGTTTTTCATGTGTCATATTGCCACGTTCCATTTCCCAAGTTTTGTTATCGCCCCAAAACACTACACAATTCTGAGCGCAAAACGCGCGTGCAGTTTTCAAGAAACTTCCGGACTTTAGTAGATCATTTCGATAAGATCACGCCCACTCTGCGAACTGTACAGATTATTTTAGAACCTACGCCACCGCCAGCGATAACGCTAGAACATTCGATGGCAAGAGCATAAATTTCGACGCACTTCGCCGCTTGTCAGTAGTATATTGACGGCCGACGCTCCGTTCCCTGCTATCTGTGCAAGACTGCTACTGTAATCGAATTTTCCGTTTACCGGGCACAGGTTCCCCCAAATAAACGTTAAATCCTAACATAAAGTCTCCTGTTTTCGGCCACGTCACGACCCCGTGACATCTGGTGGAGGTGCTGCTTCGTTCATGTACCGCACGCCCCCGTCAAGCCGCCAACCCAGCCCACGTCGCCGAGAAGACACCGACGCCAACCAGGAGCATCGAACAAGCCGCCAACAGCAAGGGCTACCACCAGAGTATGGGCTTCTACAAGACAAGGCGCGGAAGACCAAGGCCATGACCGCGACTGCAGCGACAATGACAACCGCAGCGTCCCAGCCCACGATGGTCATGGATATACCCAGGGAACCACCAATTTTCCATGGGTCATCGTTCGAAGACCCGGAGTCCTGGCTAGAAACATACGACCATGTGGCCGCCCTCAACCACTTAGACCATGACGAAAAACTCCGTCGTGTGTTCTTCTATTTGGAAGACACTGCAAGGACCTGGCTCGAAAACCAGGAGTCCACGCTCCGAACGTGGGATGTTTTCTGCGGCGCATTCCTGCAAATGTTCGCGAGCGTCGCTCGCAAAGAGAGGGCCGCTGCTTCATTAGAGACCCAGGTTCAGCTACCAAATGAAAATGACGCCATTTTCACAGAAGAAATGACCCGACTATTCCGTCACGCTGACCCAGACATGCCTGAGGAGAAAAAAGTTCGTTCCCTCATGCGAGGGGTCAAACAGGAGCTCTTCGCGGGACTGATGAGAAATACACCGAACACCGTCCAAGAATTTGTAGCCGAAGCGACCACTATTGAGAAGACCCTGGACATGCGCACCAGACAGTATAATCGTCGCCTAACGCCAGAATGCGCTGCTTCTCAAGCTAGTAACTCCGAAGACCTGCGTGAAACAATCCGAGCAATCGTGCGGGAAGAGCTGCGCAAGCTGTTGCCTTCGGTGCAGCCTCAAGTGGATTCGATCGCCGACATTGTGCGAGAAGAAGTTCGGCAATCGCTTCGAATTCCCTAAGCACCGCTGCCCGAGCCGAAAGCTATGAGCTACGTCACTGCAGTGCGCCACAACGCTCCTCCCCGTCCACGCCAAAACGCCGCCCCATCGCACTTCCGTCGACAGACGCCACCGCCGCCACCACCCCCACCGACGTCCGCCCACGTCATACCGTTCGCCAGCAGCCCAGCGCAGAGCACCGAGGAAGACTGACGTGTTTGGCGCACCTCTGACCACCGCCCGCTCTGCTACCACTGCGGCGAGGCCGGACACACATACCGCCGTGGCCAGTACCGACAGATGGGACTGCGTGGCTTCGCCGTCAATGCACCGC